GGAACCCATCCATACCCACCCAATCTATTAAGGGGTTAATATGGGTCGAGTAACCCATTAGGGTCAATGGAAAAGGGTCAGGGTGGGTTGGGTCGAGGGTACCCATTAGGGTCAGGATGGGTTGGGTCGTATGAGTCATGATGGGTTGGGCCAAAGTCAGCTTTATCTATATTCGTCAAATCTCAAAAAAATAGTAATTGAAGTGACTCAAACTCAGGCCTCCTAACACGTTCACATCTCATTAAAATTCCAAACCACCATGCCACAATTCATTTTGGGATTAAAAGTGAAATAAAATAGATTTTATTAACTTTCGTGTTCACATACAATTTCACACAAAAGCACATTTATAAAAGTACTTTTACACGAAAGCACTTTTGTAAAAGAACTTTTATGAAAGAAATTTTACAAAAACACTTTTACACGAAAGTAGTTTTATGAAAACACATTTATGAAAGCATAAAAGCACTTTTATAAAAGTACTTTTGTGAAAGCACTTTACGAAAGTACTTTTACACGAAAGAAATTTTAGGAAAGTACCTTTACGAAAACACTTTTATGTAAGCATAAAATCACTTTTGCAAAAGTGCTTATATAAGCATAAAAGCACTTTTATGAAAGCACTTTTTCAAAAGTACTTTTACATGAAAGCACTTTTATGAAAGCATAAAAGTACTTTTGTAAAAGTGTTTTTTTACAGTAGTACTTTTATAAAACTACTTTTGTGAAAGCACTTTTATAAAAGTTATACAATTTTTTCATTTTTTGCTATTTTCTGTAGTTTTTTGGTATTTTTCTACAATTTCTGATTTTTTGGTATTTTTTTGCATTTTTAAATTTTTTTGGCAATTTTGCATTTTTTTGGTTTTTTTCATGCATTTTCTGGTATTTTTGCATATTTTCTGATTTTTCTACAAAATTTATGATTTTTTTTGCAATTTTTTAGTTTCTTTTTGGATTTTCGGGTCTATGGGTTGACCTAACTCATTTTTGTCATGTGGCAATCTTGAGAGAGATTATTCTCTCAAAAATTATTATTCCAGGCATATAAGCCATCCCGACCCATTTTTGTATTTATAGGTGAGTGTAGGTGGGTTAGTATGGGTGAGGGTGGTTAAGGATCAATATGGATGGGCCAAGTGGGTCAATATGGGTGGATTAGGGTTAGTGTGGGTTAATGACCCTTTAACAATGATTGATGATGGGTCATGGTGGGTTGATATTCAACCCTTACCCAACCCAACCTAACCCACACATTTGCCACCCCTATTATTCTCAAACCCAACCTCACATCTTCTCAAAACCATTTCAGTCATTGCAACTTTGCAAGTTCTCAGCCACTGCAAGTTTGTTGTAAATTTCAAATATTTTAGCCTTTTGTTTCAACATTTGTATCTAGGTTTCGAACTTTTCAAAAGTTGCAGATTTGGTTGAACAGAT